AGATGATGTTAGAAAGACATCGAAAGCTCGCTAACGAATAAAAGTGTTTTGTTCAAAATGATTTTCATAGCAGTGTTATATTTCTTATATTCTCGATTATTTATTACTGCTTTACCCTCTGCGTTTATCATGATTTATATGTAAGTACGAAGCCAGTCTTCAGGTTATACAACAGCGCACCACGTATTTTCATATGCGTTAAGCCATTTTATTATACTACTTTTACAAACTACTAAACATAAATAACGCCCAAGTTAAACCTCTGCGTATGTCTAAATAGTTGTTGTGTTTCTACTAAATTCTATTTCGAAACGTTATTTCCGTTTGTCTTATTAGTGCAAAAACTAGCTTTTCAGACGATAATCAGCGATATTCACAGCCAAATATTCACGAAAACTAAAAGGGATCTTTTTTTAAAAAACAGATCAGCATTGTGTACAACTCGTGTAGTTTAACCGAGTGGAAGAAATGGAAATGCGATTTTTCTAATTAATGTAATTTTAATTCGCGAAGTTAGCACAATACAAAATAAATTTACAGTGAACACTCTCCTCCTTGAATATATAAGAGATGAACCTTTGATGAAAACGTAAAAGTTGTTCTTTTCTTATTTCATTCTTTAAACATGAAAAATAGAATAATTTCTCTTAAATGATAGTCTACATAGTATCAGAGTAGAATAAAGTGTAAAAGAAAAGTATATGTGTGTTTGGTAGGTTGATAAAAGAATAATCTTTGACACATAGCGGTTAATTGTCTTTGAAGAAGTAATCAAATCAATTAGAAAATAGAAGAAAGTTCCAGTCCATGTATATAAAAATTATTATAAAATGAAGTGTTTTGTAAGAGTAGAATACAGGAATAATCTCAGAAAAAGAAATATTAGATTATATTCTCCAAAACAAGTACAGATATCTGTTACTTAACTGAGTAGTATTGATCATAAGACATATATACCACCATACCACTTTGTCCACGATAAATTTACTTTTCCACAAGAACTTTGAGAATGACCACTAGAATTTTAGTCTCACACAAGAGAATTTTAGTCTTTCAAACGAGAATTGTTCATCTCGTACGGGTATTCAGAGTGACCCTATCAGTTTCTTCGCGAGAGTTGCTACGCATCAGGTCAGATTCATATTTTGCAAGTTTTCCGTAATTCCAATAATTGTCATAATTTCACAGTAATCTTGAGTCCGATTATTCCCAGAACCTTGATAGAGCTCATAATTTCCAGAAACTAGGATAGCTTAATTCACCGGCGTTTGCATTTTGCATTGTGTACTATGTGTTATGCATTGCAATAGTACTTCGATTAGCGGATCCCATCATGCGCCGTATTTCCTTCACGACACCAATGGAATCCCCCGGTTACATTCTTCACGAGAATTTTACTTCTCCAAATTTTGAGAATTATCTTCTCACTTCCTCTCACACGAGCAGGATGCACTAAAACTCTCATGGTAATTCTCAAAGTTCCTGTAGAAGTGAAGTTCTCGTTTGACTGGGTAAAATTCTCGTGTAAAATCAAGCTCTACCTTCTCGTAAAACTCAAATTCCCGTGGTCTAATATAAAGTTCTCGTGTGAGCGGGTAAAATTCCGGCGAGAAACTGAAATTCCCCTGGGAAATAAAGCTCTACCTTCTATCCAAACTAAAATTCTCCTAGTTTAAAGTAAAGTTCTCGTGTGGTGAGGGAGAATTCCGGAATTGCGATTATTTGTACCTGGTCTGTTGCAAGTGAATTGCGTATGCTTATTGCTTGAGGAAAGTTCTCGTGTGAAAAGTAAAATTCCAGAATTGATGGAACTCGGACACTACTGGAAGTATTCAACATATTTTTTCATTTAATTACTATATTTATTAACAATACCTTTAATCGTTGAACAATAATCTCTTAGTCCAAAATAATTGTCATGATCAATTTCTTTTATCAAGTCATAGTATGCTTTTGCTAATGCTTCAATACTATTATTTAAATCTAAATGATCACCCTTTTTAATTAAATTTGAATGTATATTTTTACTTCTTAATTGTAAATCATCTTCATCAGCATCTGAACATGATAGATAAAGTGCACAATTTATTTTTGATGCATCCAATCTCCAATTTGATATACCAGTAGAACTAAACCGACAATTTCATTTTCTAATTCATGATGCAAAGAATTATTAGCAAATAATTCAGCTAATCCAGTTTCGTCGAAAACAATAACAGAAAGAAAACTTGTGTTACTCTTTGTTTTTGAATAATTTCTAGCATGTTCAAAAACTTTTTCAACACTTTCATACGTACAGTTCTCTGAATCTTGATATGAATCAACAATCGTTTCCGGTAATGACTAACAATATTTTTTGATGAATTTTTTCCTTTTAAACTGCTTAATACAATTTGTGCTACCGATAACCCATGTTCAACAACTCTATCCTAGAGCATAGATAAATGACGTTGTTGCTACAGTTACTGTCCTTGGTTAAACTGTTGTTTGTTTTACTTAAATAGTTTGCCACAAATAATAATTGGAAGACGATTTACAACACATACAAAGATGGTAAATATATTCTCTAATATTGCACGCTGTTTTGCACTACCGGGTGGTATATCCATTAGTCCAATTAGATCATTTTCGTCTTCTGTTAATAAATTTTCAATATTATTACCTTGAAAATAATCATAGGGTGATAAACTTGTTCGAATCATGCGTATACGTCCAGTTTTTGACCCTGATATTTTAAATGAAAATAATAACACAACAATAGCGCAATTACACTTACTACTTCAGTTAGTGATAGCGGTGCATTGTTTTGACGATTTCTATCCAAGAGTGACTGATAATACCAGTTATATAAAAGATGATAATGTGTTACATCTCGAAGATTAACACTGCTAACATCTTCCAATTCTCTTATAAAAATTCGAGACGCACATGTTGAATTTACTACTGTAGTAAACCAGTCATTATTTATTGATAAATGTATACACGTTCAAAGCATAGTTTCAATCGATTTTTGTTCAGTATTTTTGTCAAGTTAACCATAGTTCCATATGTAATTAATCATTGTTTCTGGTATTGGTACAACCGTATATAATAAACAATTTATGTTTTTTCACATAATCATATAATTTATTGAAATCTAGACGCTCTAAAAGGAGCGGGCTCGCTTTTCCACTGCTTTTTAGCCAGAAAAACTGAACAAACTAGTACATGGACCATAGCTACACACTGTATATTTAAGGAGAAACCATTTATAGTCGAACATCCCCTATCTAGTGATCATTCTCCAGCGATCATTTTTCCCCATTTTAACCCATAAATAAGAGAGGATGAACAACGGACAATAGAATATATTGCCTGTCGAACTGCAAANAGATTACTGTGAAATTATGACAATTATTGGAATTACGGAAAACTTGCAAAATATAATAAAATTAAAAATATTTCGAATAAAAATTTATTTCTTGATTTCTTTTTTCAAAATTCTAAGTGGCCACGTTTTAAACTCAGTGAGCTTCAATATGATTGCATTCTAGATCAAATGAGAGTCAACTTCTCGACTATATTATGATCTTTTTCAAAAACATTTGAGTACTGGTCGCTTCTACGCTTGCAGAAAAATACAATCACTCAAACATTTTCTGTTGTAATGTCCACGTTATCAGCATCAAAGACATACATTTATTTCTGACTGATCATTTCTAGCTCCTGCTATTTACGCGTGCAAATGTACTACTTTTAGAGAAATTCGATAACCTAGATAATTCACAAATCTGTCAGCTGCATTTCTTTGTCACTAACTAACGAGGGAACCGCTTGGTTCGTGCGCAATCAGCTTTGTTGCTGAGATATCGAATTTTTACTCGAATTTTCTCCATAGGACCTGGATTTCAAGCAAAATTGGAGTTTTGAATT